TTTCACCATGTTGGCCAGGCTGGTCTCGAACTCCTGATCTCATAATTCACCTGCCTTGGCCTCCCAAAGTGCTGGCATTACAAGCATGAGCCACCACGCTTGGCCTACATATTTATTTAACATAAATTTTACGTGATCCAGGGGCTTTTTTAAGGAAATAAAGACTTAAAGAAATGTTTAAACCTGAGCGTTTTTATACTGGGTTTGATGAGGAGTCATGGAAGAGCATGATAGGACAGAGGGGATGAGCTGAGAGTAGGAAAGCGGGGGAAGTTCAGCAAGGCCTGTTCGCCCAGTTTCTCTTCTTCACAGATAGAGATGCTCTTTTCCCCTGAGAATAGGGAGGGTACCTGTCACCTGAAGTTCTTATGATCTGCTTCAAGGGAAGTTCAGAAATCGGTTCAGCTTAAAATCTTCACTATTTTCAAGGTGCCCTATTTTGGGCCTGACTCCCATCCATTTTTTTCAAGTGTGTCTATCAACTATCCATTTTCCCCTGGTTGATAGACCTCACCACCACTTCCCTTGGGAAATTGAGTGGGAAATCATGAAATTTACTTTCAAAGTGGGTGGTGATAATGAAAAAATAATCTTGCTATGATTCTAGTAAGAGAGGAGACCCATACAGACCCCACTTTGGGCATTACCTGGCCAAAGCCAGCAGCAAGGCAATGAGCCCTTCTGACATGCATGGGTTCCCAGGGGCTCCACATGCATCAGCCCCTGTCTTTGGTGCATAATGTGTATTGCTGTTGATGTGTTCAACTCTGTTGCAAAGTGTTGAGGACAGATAACATCACAGTCGGATCATTTATCAATTCTTTCACTTGCCCACCTTTTGTTGTTAAACCACATACTTTGGGTCATAACTGCAGTTTATTAGGCATGTGTGAATACTGTTTTGTAAGGAGTGCTTGGCTGAAAACACCCACAGAATGATTTAAAAACACAGAGCTAGGCTGGGTACGGTGGCTCATGCCTGTAATCCCAGCATTTTGGGAGGCCGAGGCAAGAGGATCACTTGAGGTGTGGAGTTGGAGACCAGCCTGGCCAACTTGGTGAAACTGCATCTCTACCAAAAATACAAAAGTTAGCTGAGTGTGGTGGCATGTGCCTGTAATCCCAGCTACTTGGGAGGCTGAGGTAGGAGAATGAACCCAGGAGGCAGAGGTTGCAGTGAGCTGAGATCATGCCACTGCACTCCAGCCTAGGCTACAGAACGGGACTGTCTCAAACCAAACAAAACAACCCCTGCAAAAACCTACAGAGCTAATATTTACATCTTGGGAATGTCGTCATTGTGAATGTTTCCATCTGCACAAATAGCTGGAAAATGACTACTAGGACACCAGCCTTTATTACTGTTCTATTAAGAGAAACCACTTGCTCCTAAGCCCTTCACTCTCTTAAACAAATCATTTTAAGAACTGGAGTGGGCTGGGCGCGGTGGCTCACGCCTGCAATCCCAGCACTTTGGGAGGCCGAGGCGGGTGGATCACAAGGTCAAGAGATCGAGACCATCCCAGTCAACATGATGAAACCCCGTCTCTATTAAAAATACAAAAAATTAGCTGGGCATGGTGGTGTGTGCCTGTAATCCCAGCTACTCAGGAGGCTGAGGCAGAATTGCCTGAACCCAGGGGGCGGAGGTTGCAGTGAGCCGAGGTGGCACCATTGCACTCCAGCCTGGGTAACAAGAGCGAGACTCCGTCTCAAAAAAAAGAACTGGAGTGGTTATGAGAAAAGTGCCGGTGCTTTTAAAGAGTTGCTGAAGTGGGAAAGGTCACTTGGCTGTCAGTCTGAGTTTTAATCGCATACATGGGGGTACCTATCACTCATAGCATTGGAGTCAGATAGACGGAGTTGGGAATCCTGTCTCCACCATAAATTAATTTTCTAAACCTCAGTTTCCCCATCTTTAAAACAGAGATGATATTCATAATCTTTCATTAAAAAGTATAACATTAGAAAGTGTCACACGCTGAAGAATGTCCAACTCTTGGCAAAGTTCAGTCCAACTAGGCTTGAACATGTTTTTAAAAATATCCTGAGGCTCTGCTCTCCTCAGAAGAAGCTGTAAAAAACAATTCTAGCCCTGGCACTGAGACAGTTGGATCTTAGATGAGATCCAACTTCTCTTTTTTGGGGGCCTCAGTTTCCCCTTTGGTAAGATGAAGGGATTAAATGAAATCGGTGATTCTCCAAACTTTGGTGTGCTAGTCTGCTAGGCTCCACCTTGGTAGCCTCTAATTCAGTCGGCTTGGGTGGGGTTCAGACAGCTTCCCTGGGAGGTTCTGATGCTCAATCTCAGAACCACCCACCTGAGAACCACAACCACAGCAACCTATGCTGTGATTGACATTTGATGGCTTCAAAGGGATATTTTAAAGCTATTATCCCAGAATACGTGGTATGTTTTTTGAGAAGGAGGAAGACCTATCCACGGCACACATCAGGGAGAGGTGGCTAAAGGTCAGAGAGTTATTCTGCATAATATCCATCTGATTTGGTACTTCATGAAATTTTTGGCACCCATCCGCGGTTGTCTTTTAACAGGTTCCCCACTGCTCATAGATTGACAGGAAACCACACAGGGTAAAATGCACACATAACATACTGTACGTCTGACATCAGGGTAGTTCTTTATATAGCACAATATTTTGTATTATTGTAGACTTAGAAATTATTGAAGTCTGTGTGTTTGTGTGTGTGTACTCTCTCATTTTGGTGGTATGAAGACCTTTGAGGGAAGGAGAGAGGGATTAAAAAAGGAATAGTTTTTACACACACATCTCCCTTTGCAAGAACACTGATCTCCAAGTGGATTCTTTTGTCTCGAGTCTTTTGAATTATTGATCCACAGTGATGAAATCCTTAGCACAGATGTTCAATCTTGATGTCATTTAATATATTGTACAACAGCCTGAGGCTAATTTTCCTCTCTCCAGGAAAAATGGTTTGTAAGAGTTGATGGATCAACTCAGGCCCAAGATCATAAATATAGATTTCATTGATAAAGTGATCTACTCTAATATTAACTTCTGGGATTAGAAAATAAAGAGTATAAAAAACACATGAGCATATAGTAAATGCTCAACAAATGTTGGCTTTGATTATTATTAGGTGATCATGGAATTAACTGTCACTAATTTGCCCTGAGTTCTAAGCCAATGTTGATCCAGGGATAGTTTCTAAACAGACAAACCTCCTGCAACTTCAGGTATCAGAAGCGAGACTTTCCCATTAGTGCTGTCTTCTCCCAAGAGTGTTATCCAGACCACCATGTATCGGGATCTTTGGCAACCTTTTTAAATAATTTAAAAAAATAGAGACAGGGTCTTGCTATGTTGCCCAGGCTGGTCTTGAACTTCTGACCACAAGTGATCCTCCTGCCTCGGTCTCCCAAAGTGCTGAGATTACAGATATGAATCACCACACTTGGCCTTAAATAATGCTCTTCAAAATAGTACATACTGAAGTCTAAACAGAAAGAACTACTAAAAGATTTGTGAACTACTAAAAGATTTAGAACTACTAAAAGATTATTTTATTTTTATCACAAAAGACAATGGTTGTAACATTTATGCTGATATAGTTTCCCTTTAAAACAAATCATTCAAGTGGAAGATGTTGATTCAAAGAAAGCTGCTAAGTAATAATAGCACAAATCGTACCAAGAAATGGTAGAAATTGTGATGGCGGCATGCAAATGACTAAGTTTGAGAACTACTAGGTCAGTGAATTGAATCCGTGTGCTCTCTGTTGTGCTACATCTGAAAACATTCATCAACACTTATTTCATGGAGTTTGGATCTGTAGTACAGTTATAAAACTTCTGTGCTGTCCAGGACCTTGAGATCATCATAGAACCACTCCTGTATTAGGCAGGTGTTTTCCATGAACTAGAGATGTTGTATCTCAAGTGCAATACACTGGGGAGGAAACATGACTTTAGCAGATTATAGAGAAAACAGTGTTTGAAAAGAGGTAGTCCTTCTATCCCAGGAGAGATACATTGGAGGAGAGAGGGCAAGGAGAATGGAAACTATGTTCCAAATTTTTCTGTACATTGAAAAAATTAAACATTTTAAAAAAGAGAATGGAAATTGTCTTCTGAAAGGATCTCAAGGGGCACGTCTTAAAGTATCTGAAGATCTTTTACTTGGAAGACAATGACATGTACTCTAATTGACTTCAAGGTGAATAAGAAGGAGGCTGAAAGTATAGGAAGACAACTTTTAGCTAGGTGAGAGGAAATACCTTTAGTGAACTAAAGAAGGAGTGAGCTGTCTTAAGAGATGATGAGCTCCTCAAGACTACAGGTATTTATTTAAGCAGAGCCATGATGACCTTAGACCTTAGGGAATCTGGGACCAAGTGCTGGAGGGGTGTGGAGGTGGCTGGCTAGGGTCCTTGCTGCTCCTTAAAGTCAAGGAGTTTCAGGCGCCTTTTGGTCAGGTGCGGTGGCTCATGTCTGTAATCCCAGCACTTCAGGAGACTGAGGCGGGCAGATCATGAGGTCAGGAGTTCGAGAGGAGCCTGACCAAGGTGGTGAAACTCCGTCTCTACTAAAAATACAACATTAGCTGGGTGTGGTGGCATGCGCCTGTAATCCCAGCTACTCAGGGGGTTGAAGCAAGAGAATCGCTTGAACCCAGGAGGTGGAGGTTGCAGTGAGCTGAGATTGTGCCACTGTACTTCAGCGACAGAGTGAGACTCTCAAAAAATAATAAAGAAAATAAAAAGGCAGCCTTTCCTGCCTTTCAAGTGGCTCCTCAAAGGGAGCTATTATCTGCAGTTACTGTCTCAGTTTTATGTAAAAAGCATTTATCATTTGGGAATTTCCCCTCCCCATACAATACTTTTTACTCCTGAATACATGCAAAAGAGCTATAAGAAAGTTTCTGGTGCTGAATGAGAAAATGTGTGAACATAAATGAGCTAATTTAACTATAAGTTCACCACAGTGTATTTTAAACACCAGGCAGTTAAAAACTCAATAGTTTGAGATTTGTGTTTTAATCAGGGTTTGGCTAACAATATGACATAAACTATTAGAGAAGTGTAGATCATTCTGGCAAACAGAAAGTTCCATCATTTCACATGTAGAAAGCTGCCATTAAGAGCTTGTTCTTGGAGTATAAAATGCAGAATTTAGGTTAAACCAGGTGAAATTGTCATTTTGCAGATGAAATCCTATACTGGCAATTTCTTATGGTTCAACCTAATAGTAAAACATTTATAAACAATTGTATCATTACAAATACATTTAACATTGTTTTCTACTAAACTCAGTATTTTCTTTTCCATCCTGATCAAAGAAACATTATTGCAGTAAGCCACAGTGTAATGCAGCATGATTTCTTCTAAAAAGGCCCGGAGTTCCTTTGAGCTTGTTATTGCACAGTGGATTTTTCATTTGCAAAGACGTTAAGCCCTCCAAATGTGCAAATCATTAAGAAGTCGGTTGTTGTTTCAGCAAGGTTTGCCCAGCGGTAAAAAACAAGAGAAAACTCATGCACTAGCTGAAACCAGGTGGGGAGACCATGTGTGGTAGTGCTCGGGGGTGGAGGGAAACTATTTCTGAAATGAGGGCTTAAAGTATAATCCCGGCTTCACTGCCTGTTCACATGAGAAACCAAAGCTTCAATTTAACTGCAGGCAATGGGAATTTCACACTGTCAGCACCAACTGTCTAAAATCCCAAACTAGTCTCTAAATGTGTAGGATCAAAACAAAAAATCTGGAGGGATCTAGTTGAACTTCAATATGCATGACCCCAGATTCCCCTTTCAAATATAGTCCAAGTATTATGTTTTCCATAGGGCATTTACATTATCTTGTTAATGTGAATTATATATATCTCCCCAAATCTCGGCTTTATAGAATACATAATTATCACATCCTGTCGGAGAGCCATTTAAAAAGACAGCCTTGTTTATAGATGGGATGTTACGGAATTTAAAATTCCTGTTAGAAAATTGGGGGACTATGGGGCTGGGCACGGTGGCTCACACCTGTAATCCCTGCACGTTGGGAGGCTGAGGCAGGTGGATCACCAAAGGTCAGGAGTTCAAGACCAGCCTGGCCAACATGGTGAAATCCTGTCTCTACTAAAAAATACAAAAATCAGCCAGGCATGGTGGCAGCGCCTGCAATCCTAGTTACTTGGGAGGCTGAGGCAGAGAGAATTACTTGAACTTGGAGGTGGAGGTTGCAGTGAGCTGAGATGGCACCACTGCACTCCAGCCTGGGTGACAGAGCGAGACTACAGCGTGGCTCAAACCTGTAATCCCAGCACTTTGGGAGGCCGAGGTGGGTGGATCACGAGGTCAAGTTATTGAGACCATCCTGGTCAACATGGTGAAACCCCGTCTCTACTAAAGACACAAAAAATTAGCTAGGCATGGTGGTGCGTGCCTGTAATCCCAGCTACTCAGGAGGCTGAGGTGGGAGAATTGCCTGAACCCAGGAGGCGGAGGTTGCGGTGAGCCGAGATTGCGCCATTGCACTCCAGCCTGGGTAACAAGAGCGAAACTCCATCTCAAAAAAAAAAAATTCCCTCATCAGCCATCAGCCAATTGCCAGTGTTGTATGGGCAAGCTGGGCCTGGATAGACTTATTTTCCCAGTTCCATTTCCAGCCGAGCAAAGGAACCACTTCCATTCTCTTAGAACCTTGGATACCATAGTAAATAACCTGATATCTTTAATTGAGCAGTTTTCCACCCACGTTAATCTACATCTACCCCATTTTGACTACTAGAAAATGTATCAGAGGCTCTCCAATTTGTCTGAGATGAGATAGGCTGAGTTCCTAGTCATATAATGGCCAACACTCAGAAACAGATCTATTTGATAAAATCATTGCCACACAAGGAAACCGATGTCAAGAGTTGTTGGCACCAGACAACCTTCCTCCCTCCTCTCAGGAGGCTGAACAGATTCCTAGTCACTAATGTGCCATGAACTAAGAGTGAATTCATTGTAAATTCACTCATGCCAGTATAGAAAAGTTCTCTCCATAGAAGTACAGGACTTAGAGTTTTTAGCCACTTTTTCAAACATAATTCAAATGTTAGAGATTTCTTCATATTCCTCATGTTAATGTGGAAACATATTCCCCTTACTTTTGCAGTCAAAGGCCAACTTCCATATATGACATTGACTATGAAAACTGATTTTCACAAGTAGCTTGTACAAGTGAACTGACTTTTGCAGCAGTTTATAAACATAGTTGGGTGAGACAAGGGCCCCGAGTACACAAACTTGCAATGGCTGAGTGGTCATTCCACACTGTCACTGCATTACAGAAAGAAAACTGGATGCTTGTCTTGCATACAAGTATGTAGTGCATTAAAAACACTGAGACCTTTTTTTTTCATTTTTTTATTATATTTGGACCTTTAGGAAACATATACCATCAGATATACCACTATTCAGTAAAAATCTATTCTAGATTTTGGGAAGCATGTGTCACAAACTATCTTGCTTCTAGTCTCAAGACTTAGTACTAAGAGTTTATCAAAAAGGTGGGCTCGATCTATGGGATCCTGAGCCTTGAGGTTTTGAATGTTCTGATTATTGTAAAATAATTTCAAGTGGATTAACTTAATTCCCAGCTGTTTTTCTTCTGGAATGGGCTAATTAGTTTAAATTATCTAGTCCATTACAAGAATATTAAATTCCTTGAGTTTTGTGATCTAGTCTGTCTTTGGAAAACCTGGTAAAAAAGTAATTTTTTTTCTATACAGTAAGGATGAATTTACCAGAACATACCCAATATTAATCATAACAAAAAGCAGTATAGATAATGTATATGCGTTGTGTTCACTTTAATGACCATTTCTTAAGTAACTACTCTTAACTATGGGAGCTATTTCTGGATCGGTAAGATCCAAGCATAGTTAGTTGTAGCCTACACTCAACTTCTTAACACAACTCTTGGTATCTGACATTGACTAAAAGTAAAAAAGGGGAAGTGAACAAATACATACTCATACATGATTACAGTTTTAAGAAGCTACCCTTTGCAGAAGTAAACAAGAGAGGAGATTTTCAGGAAACTGTTGATGGGGATTGGGAAGGTTTAAAGCTATGGCTTTGGTAAGCACCCCAGTGAGCTGTAGGAAGGCATTGTAACAGTAGATTCTGCAGCATCAAAGGATAATTCTCTAAAAGAGGAGGGTGTTTTCTCAATTAATCTAAATTCTGAGGCTTTCAGCAGTTGAGGGCTAGAAACAAGATCCAAAGAAAAGGGCCATCTTCACAACACTAAGAAGGGTGACTGACTGTGCCATTAGGTTCATGAGGCTAAATGGTCCAAAAGCCTTTGGTGGTGTGATATGGACAAGAAAAAAATTAATACACAAACCACATAACACCATTAAAACCAAAAAACATTTTTTCATTTAAAAAAGTATTTAGAACACATAAAACAAGGCAACATTTATTCTTTTTTCTCATCTTCTGGTATGGGATCTGTTGGGGGCTCCTCCACTGTTGCACTGTTGCTCTCCGAGCCAGTGTTGCTATCACTGGTTCCTTCCTCTGCCATACTGTCGACCCCCTCCTGCCCACTCTCCTTGTCCTCAGGAGTAGACGTGCCTTCTTCACCGTTTTGTTGGTTCTCTGTCGTTTCTTCAAGGTGTGTCTCCTCTGTAATCACATATTTGTCACTGTCAGTTCCAAGATGAAATTTTACTCTAGTTATGCTGACAGCATACAACTGGGCTGTCCAATACAGGAGCCACTAGCCACATGTGGTTATTAAACCCCTGAAATGAGCCAGTGTGACTACAGAACTTTTAAGAATGTTGGAACAATCTGGGTATGAAAACCTAACTTTTAGCTGTATTTATGAAATTTATTAAATAAATGCAGATCAAATACTTTTGATAACAATTTTCTTCTGAATTGAGATGTGTAGAAAAATAAAATATACATTGGATTTGAAGACTATTTAAAAAAAGGAAAGCTGATTTTAAAAATGTTTCTTCCGTGTTGAAATAATGTTACTTAGGATATGCTGAATTAAATAAAATATATTGTTAAAACACTTGTTTTGTTTAACTTTTAAAAATAGGTCGCTAGTAGAAAATTTAAAATTTCACATGTGAATTGCATTTTATTTCTATTGGACAGTAAATGAGAGTCAGTCTGTAGTGCTAAGGATTAAATGAGGAGAAGCAGTTGTAGAAATGATATAAGGTTGATCTTTTAGATACTTTGTTAAAGTCATGCTGGACTGTTTCCTGTAGGAAATTAAAAGCATGAGCTTTTGGCTCTAATAGTGTCATACGATCTTCTTCAGGTTTTTCCTTGAGCTAGGAGAACAGAATTTGAGTAAAGACCTGCAAACCGTAAGCATAAGACATGCCTCATTCACAGGTGCCAAAACAGAGGCAAGGGACAGAGTGTTCTTACAGTTGCAAAAATCAGTATTTTAAATTTCAAGCTCTTACTTTAACCACAAAGATGTGCTCATGCTCCAAATTCATTAAGATAAAAAACATGTTCATACAAAACAGACACTCAGATAGTGAAACCTAACATATGACTATCTAAAATGTTAACCTGCTGGATTAAATTTTGCAAAAATACCTGGTAAAGATCTGTATTTCATTACATGTTTTCCAGATGGTTGTCATCTGACTACAAAGTATGACACTTGGAGGTTGTCATTTGAGTACCAAGTATGACTACTGTCCCTCCCACTTCTTGCAGCGATGCTCCAGGAAGCCTTTGGTTTTGTTTTCCATAACAACTTTTAGCTTAGTCCTGTTTACACAGTGTACTAGGCAGTGTCAAAACAGTGCTATGAGGTTAGGTCATCTCAAAATTACAAATGATAATCATTGTAATCAGTACTTTATATAAGTTTTATTCATACAAGTTATTACTATTATTTTTTACCTTGAGGGATGCTGCTTTCAATCAGGAAAATCAATATACCTAGAAGTAAGGGCTTTTCTAGGACAGGGTTGGTATTTTTTTCTGTAAAGAGCCAGACAGCAAATATTTTCGACTTTGCAGGCTAGGCAGTCTTTGTTGCAACTACTCAACTATACTGTTTTAGCCCCAAAGCAGCCATAGACAATATGTAAACAAACAAGTGTGGCTGTGTTCCAGTTTTATTTACAAAAGCAAGTGGTGGGCAGAATTGGCCTATCGGTATTACTTTGAAGAATGCTGTCCTAGGACACCAAAGACAATTATCTTAACACCAATGCTGTTAAGATAATTGATCTTAAAGCAATAACTACATCTTGATAAATAATGTAAGCAATAGAGGTTAAAATATTGAATGTCAATATCATGTCAAATTCAGTACTGGGAATCACTCTCAGTGGCAGGTATCAGAAAACTTGCACTTAGAAAGAAAAATCTAAATTAAAGACAGCTGTACAAAGTCTTGGCACTTCCTTGTGTTTGTTGCTAGTGGGTTACCTGTCTCCATTGGAATGTTCTCGTCGTCCTTCTTCTCCTCGCCTTTGTTGGCTGCTTGTTCTTCCTCAGGAACGATGCTGCTCTGACTGCGTTCAGCTTGCTCTGCTGCCTCCTTCTCCCTTTCCTCCTGCCTTTTGCGGGCCTGTTCCTCTGCCTGTGCAATCTCAGCTGCAATTTTCTCCATATCCACTTCTACTTTCAGACCGCACAACTAGTCAGAATAAACCAGAACTCTTAGTAATGTTTTCTTATAATTTTTGAGCCAGATATATTCTTTCAAAAGTTGGTTTTCTTGCCCACAAACTATATATATATATATATATATATATTCTATACACCTGTGTGTCTGTGTGTGTGGCAAAAAAATGTGGTTCTAGGTCTTCTCTGAAACTCTTGGGTCTACAAGAAAAGAAAGCTGCTGTAGCAGTTGTATAACATCCGATATTCCAGAGCAGCTGGTGAGGCAAAACAGTGAAAGTTCTGGGGTATACATAAGGCTTCCATTTTATATTTTGGGCTACCAACTAGTTATCCTTGTCTACATGTAAAGTGCAAACTATGAATTACATCTAATGAAGACATTTTATGAATAAATCACAATAAAAGTAATTGACTGTATGGGAGTTTAAAATATCAGAGGGCTCTAGCATTTATAGGCCTAGTAGATATGTGTATACTCCATGATATTTCAAATTTATTGCAATTCTGCCAGAGGATGGGAAAAATTGTATAAAAAAAGATCTTACAGGTTATATAGTAAAGTTAACCCTGTTTCAAAGTGAACAACATTCATTAAAACACTATTTTGGAAAAAGGAATGAGGAAAAATAAAGTAACAGGCATCGTGATAAAAGTATAGTTAACATATTAAACAGATACCCTTTTAAGTTCATTGTTAAACGAATCTGTGCTTTCCAGGAATTTCCTCTTCTTCTCCTGGTGTCGTTCCTCTATCTGAAGAAGTTCAGCTTCTAGTTTTCGCTGTAAGACAGGATCAGGCTCTATAATTACTTAATTATTTTCTCTAAAGCAAATGTCAAACACAGAAAATATGTCTCATTTTTTAATGGTCCACAATTTCAAACAGTGTACCAAATAATGCTTTGAATTTTTACTTCAGATCATTAATTACATGAGTCTAGCTAAGATTTAAAAACTACAAAATGCAGCACAAAGAAATGACTGTGATAAACAGGCAAATATTAAAGAATACTGTTTCAGGTCAGAGCAATTCCTTTGGAAAAAATACTTAGTAGAGCAGTAAAGATTGATAGGATGCCTCAAAATTCTTAAGTTCACATGTATATCTAAACAAATATACTTTCCATTACAAAGTTCTATGTTACAATTTTTAATGACAAACTTATTAAACCTCTGGGAACGGTCCATTTCCTTAAACCTCTTCTCCAAATCAGCAACAGTTTAGACTGAAATATTTAGCACGTACACGTACACATGGTGTAAGAATCACGTCACTTGGGATTTGCGGCAATAGGCCCATTTTATTGAAGTTAAGTATTTAATGACTTTACCTGATGAACCATTAAGGACTGGACCTGTCGTTTGAGGACCTGCATTCTAGCTGTTGTGACAACTGACCGAACGTCTGGCACCACACTCTCACTAAGGATTTCACTGATGAGGCGGTGGTTTCTCTGGAAACGGGCGGTGGCTGTATGCTTCATTGAAAAGCCATCATCGTAATCTGGAATGAACAGATTATTCTGGAAATTAGGTCACCAGTAACCATAAAAAGGAGTGTAACAATGTTAACACTTCATTACCAAGGAACTATGGCCCTTGCTGGCCTAACAAGTGGACCTGACCAGTATCATGGGAGCTCTGGGGCAGTTACTTGATAAAAACCATACAGAGGACATAAATGTGTTCATTGGCCAAGGTAGTAGTTTACCTCCCAGTCTTTAAGTGATGATGTGTGTCTGAGAAGGATTTGGCTTAAACATGAACGAGATATATTTCTCTTTTGGCTTTGGAATCAATGTGAAGGCTGCATGTGATGGCACTCATTGACCTTCTGCCCCGTGTTTTACTCTCCTGGTAGTAACTTAAGGCGCTTAACAACTGATGAACATCATATGAACTCGGCAGTGTCTTTGTCACTGAAGCACTTTAAAAATGAATGAAAATGCCCATTTGTAAAATTATCACAGCAGAGAAAACATCATCTCTAACAATATTTAGTTTCCCAGGCCTTCAAGTAATTTATAGATGAAAAACAAATGTTTGATTTCAAATTTAGTTTTTGTCAGTTTACACTTAGCCAGCTGTTGTCAGTGTGTAATGGTATGACCCAAGTTCATACAGTATAGGTCTGGTTTATATGTTTTTGTTTTGCTTTGTTTTGAGACAAAATCTCGCTGTGTCACCCAGGCTGGAGTGCAATGGCCTGATCTTGGCTCACTGCAACCTTCACCTCCTGGGTTCAAGCGATTCTTGTGCCTCAGCCTCCCAAGTAGCCAGAATTACAGGTGCCTGACACCACACCTAGCTAATTTTTGTATTTTTAGTAGAGACAGGGTTTCACCATGTTGGTCAGAATGGTCTTGAACTCCTGAACTCATGTGATCCACCCATCCTGGCCTTCTAAAGTGCTGGGATTACAGGTGTGAGCCACTGTGCCCACCCTATTATGCTTATTTTTAATAGCTATCTAGTGTTTCCTTAATCTCAGTCTTTGCTCTATCACCGTTATAGTTTTTCATATATCTTTTAACAGCCTGTACTATTGTTTACTTAATATTTTTTCTTTAACTCACTTAAAAAAGAAAAAGAGAGCATTCTTTTAAGCAATACGTATTAAAACAAATGCTCCTCTCTGAAACAGTTTATCACCTCAGTGTCTCACCAGACAGAGAGGGTCCACACTTGAGGAACCCTTGCTACAGAGGCCTATGTTGTGTGGCTATGTCACAGTCTAGCACCTCCCTTATTGTGGCAGTTAAATAAATAGTTCCTAAAATTCTCATTATCATGAATACTACAGCTAAAAACTTGTACTTCCTTGCATGTTAGTCGTCTGCTTCCTTTTTTGTGGGAAATGGCTTTTCTAGTTATGATTTAATTCAACAGCTATTTATCCCATGAAGGGTCTCTCACTGAATAAAAGCCTTCATTGTCTTGTGTGGATAACTGCATATGCCCTATTTTTTTTTTTTTTTGAGACTGGGTATTGCTCTGTCATCCAGGATGGAGTGCAGTGGCATGATCATAGCTCACTGTAGCCTCAAACTCCTGGGCTCAACTGATCCTCCCACCTCAGCCTCAGTTGGAGAAGCTGGGACTACAGGCACAAGCCACCGTGCCCAGCTAATTTTTAAGTATTTTGTAGAGACAGGTCCTGCTATGTTGCCCAGGCTGGTTTCAAACTCTTGGCTACAAGCAATCCTCCTGCTTCAGTTTCCCAAAGTGCTGGGATTACGGCCATGAGCCATGGTACCTGGCCATGTCTATCTTTTGACAGTTCTCTGTTAAAGAAGTCAGTAGCTGTTGTACTTCATGCAGATGCCACCTTTCTCTTATGTACGTTTTACATACATTTCCACCTCCCAAGTCTTCCTCTTTCTGATCATTTTCATACTGGCATGCTAACGACACCCTCATACTCGCATTTTAATTGCTACCTGTACTTTCTTACTAGCAAGATCTGATCTTAAAAACATAATAGGCCCAAGTTTGAGACTCTTTCTGAGTGAATCTCTTCAGTCCTTCTCAATGTTCATGCTATTAATGAAAGCTTTAGTTATTTTCTACTTATGTTGCTAGCCTCTGTTTCCTCTTGTACTGACCCGCATCCTCCCGATATCTGTACAATGGAACATCTTCTGTTTTTCAGTTATTTATGTTTTTCTTGTTAATCATCCCATTTGAGTAATTAAAGTGTGAGGATGCTACTGTGTCTAGCACTGCTGATTATTCGGCTTAACACTCAGTACTGTCTGGAGTCAGATGTTCAAGGGAATTAACTTAAAAAAAAGTAAAAAAAAACCACAAAACACTCATTACTGTTTCTATTCCATAGTCTATTCTCTATAGTATTACATTCTGCTGTCTGTATTTATGAGAACAATATTCCAGTCCATTCTTTTAAAAAATGATTTCTGGTTTTCTCTACTTTTATCAATTTATTCTTGTCTTTAGGTGCTATTGTTGCTTCCTCCCTCATTGATGTTGTCTTTAAAGTTCTTATAGGCTTCCTCTTTGTTACTGCTACTTTAAGATGGGATCTTAAATCATTTTCCTGATGTCTTTGTTGCTTATAGCTACAGCTTCTAATCTTTTGCACATGACAGCAGCATACAAAGAAACTATTAATATTATACAGCACACTAGATGTGTGGTTGAGTGTGTTCATACTGCAGGTGGCTCTCTCTCTGTCTCCTTGCAGCTTCAGACCCTGCCTGGCTGCATAAGACCAGAACAATCAGCACACCTGCTAAGTACTCATTCAGGATGGCAATTAGGAAGCTCTGCTATTTGTGTGCGGGTGTACCCTCATGAGTAGTAGCATGAGCTATATTTATACATTCTTTTTGGATTTCTGAATTAAATAGAAAGAAAATTTTGTAATGTTTCTACATACTCATTAGCTTCTCCCTTAAGAGCCTTTAATTCAGTAAATTTAGTGAACCAATAAAAAAACAGGATATAATTAGAATGCATTTTGCTTTTTAAAAGCAGATGAGGCAAAATCCTAATTGTGACTTAAAAACCTTTCATACATTTTGAGTACAAAGATTCTGATAAACAATAAATAATTTTTGCTATTTTCTACACTGAAAAAGATTATTTCTTTTTCTTGTGGGAAATTCATATACAAATCTTAATATAACCAAAATACTGAGATGATACTTGAATTATGCTTTCTTTTCCATTTAGGACAAGAAATAAAAACTTAGGAGATTTCTCATATCTTAGTAACTCTCAGAGAAAGCAGAAACAAAACCCCACTTTTTTCTTTTACCATCTGGATCTTCAGCAGGCTGAATGCTCATGTACGGTTCTCCTTTCTCCATGCGAGACTGTCTCTGTCGACTTTCTTCCTCTAAAGCAGCTTCTGCACGACTTTTTGCATTTATGTAAGCAAGGTACGCGGGGGAATTATGATAGGCCTTCATAGATTCATTGTACTCTATCTGAAATTCAAATGTTTTTTGGTTTTATAATTAACATTTTGCAGGTTACAATGCAGACTTATGTTATCTTATTTGACTATCAAAAGTTATGACGTAAGCAGAGTGCTGGGATAATTATCTCTTTTTACAGACAAGAAATCGGAGGCCTTGAGAAGTTGACTTGACTTAGGTAGACAGAGCCTCAGTACAGCATCAGCCTTCTGACCAAATCTTATGTTTCCTTTATAAAGAGTAAGCCAATGTTTATGTACTTTACACATTATCTATCCCACTGTGATCCCCTACTCTACCTTTTCTGCTTCGTATTCGTTTAAATATTCTTGTTTTTCTTCATCAGTGAGATCTCGCCACATGCCACCAATAATCTTGCCAATCTCCCACAACTTTAGGTCAGGGTTGGAAGCCTTTACTTGGTCCCAGACCTTAAAAAGAAAACAGGTGAAATGTCAATACTGATGTCTAAATGTACAGACACTAAAAAATATGGAAACTTTTAAACATAAAAAGCAGAGAAAACAGGATCAAATTTCTATGTACTCATCAGCCTACTTCAACAATTATCAATGGCTGGCCAATCTCATGTCATCTTTGCCCTACCGGATTAAGATAGATCTCAGACATCATGCCATTCACTTATAAATACTTCAATTTGATAGACAAGAATATCTCTAATCACTACAGAGGCTTAAGATGAATTACTTCAACAACATAGGCTGTGTCTCTGAAAGTTCATGTGAATTTAGAAGAAAATGCTTAATTTGCATAGCACAATACATCATATTTTTAAATACATATATAATAGTCAAGACCAAAAGGTTTAAAATTTCTGGATAGTGGTTAAAAGGCTCTGCCTTTTAATAAAGATATTGGCGATATTTTTTATTTTAAGAGGAATGTAGGTTCATCACCAAAAAAAAAAATAGGGGAAATCTGAGGAAATATAAAGAAAATAAAAACTACTATAAGCTTACTGCTTAGAGAGAATCATTGTCTTCTGTGTTTTCCCCCTTCAAACTAACATGTGGTTGCTATTATGTTTATAAATATAAGATTAATTCATATAGTCTTGTATTCCTCCTTCACTTAACATATTCCTCATGTCATTAAATATTCTACAAAAGACATGACTTTAATGGCTACAGAACATTCTGTCCTAAGGATTTTAAAAGTTTATTTAATCATGCTCCTCTTGTTGGATTTTGTTCTGGAATTTTGATATCAGAACTAATTGTTTTAAAAACTGTAGTTTTTTGGTCCTTTCCTCTGAATATGCACAGAAAAGCTGGCTAAGCCAATCTAAAATTGGATGTAAAGTGAAGAAGAGGCAAAGACAGTGTCCTCGCTCCTTTCCAGGTCCTAAGCGCCTACCTTTCTGCTGTACCTCATGTAGGGCATCAGCGGCTTATCTGGTGGCTTTGGGGGTTTTGGAATCGTAATACCAGAGGATGCCTACAAAAGAGTTAAATACATCAATTATTCAACTATAAGGAGTTCACCGGCAAACTGAAAAGAGAGTTCCTTAAAAAATTCTAATGCGCCTTTCTTCTACTCGTCCAAATATTTTCTCCACTGAAAATAGCTATTACTGCAAATTCAGAAATTTCAAAAGAAAATGACTTTAAGCACACAATTTTTAAATGTTTTGCTTAGCAGTTTACTGTCAATACTTTGACAACCTGGCTGTAAGAACAAATAAAATATTACATGATAACCCATACATTGAAAATATATGATTATATATCAACCGTCTCACATTCAGGACTTTACCTGGCACCCTCTGATTCTGCTCAATTACCGTTACACATACAGTCAACACTTGATTATCTGTAGCAGGATCTGAACCCTTAGCACTTACCATTCTCACACTGTCTATAGGAGCCTTAGTACCTATTAGCACTATGTTAGGAATGCACTCCCAACAATACCACCACAAAAACAACTTCCCAGGTTCAAAAACAAAAACAATTTGTGAAATAACAAACCACCTTACCTCCTTTGCCAGGCTAGAGATTTTATTTCTCTTAAGGTTCTGTCTGTTACCTAGTGGTTTTCTTATAAAGGGGAATGAGAAGTGTGAACTCAAGTCACACTTTTCTTTGTCCTTAGGCCTAATCAGTGTAAAAGCAAACAAGTTTATCAGGAACAGAGAAGTGGCAGATATGGGGCCTGATTATGTTATTTTTGAGGTCTTATATTGACAAGCTCCATTCCATTAAAAATCTTTGGTTTTATGGGAAAGACAAAAGAAAAGGAAAGATAGGATATGCAGGAAAACGGAGACAGGAGAAAAGGAGGGGGAGGTAAGACTGAAAAATATTTTTTAGTAAGGTAAAGCAAAAATAAGTGAGAGAAGAAATAGGAAGAAGGAAAGAGAAAGAGAAGTGATCAGTTTTTCCTCTGGTCTAAGGTCTAGGTGAGATTCCAGAGAGCTTCTTGTAGGTCACCCAGATAACAACCAACAACTATCTATTTCAACTTTTTAGTCTCCCCTTAATATGCATGACTGCATTTGATTAAAGACCCAGGATAAGAAAAAGCATTGCTATTTCAGACAATCTGCAAATTTTCAGGAGATCTCTGATACTGACTCTCCCTGGTAGGCTGGAAAAAAGCGATGGCTTTATACTAATTATCAAAAGACAGGATTGGCAAATCCTTGTAAGAAAACTAAAGTGACATTTTGTTCGCTTCCTCTTCTGTTGCTGCTGTGATAAAACCCCAGAGATACTCCTCCACTCTGGGCTGGGACCCCAATTATAACCTTATTTTGCATTTGAGGGATCTGGGATGGGCATGTTTGTGTCCCTTTCCACTATGATCAAGAAACGTTTCCTCTTCCTACAAGGGTCTCTCTCCTTCCCTGTAACTCTACTTCTTCATATATGAAGTTATTAGAAAGCATTTTGGCTTGGGAGCAGTATTCCTCTCTTTCCATTCCTCCCATGCATTCTTACCACACCTCATGCTAGTGCCCAGGTAGACAGATCCTGTTTTCAGCCAGCAGTGGGCAACAGAGATGGTCAGGAGGCACGGCAACTGTCAAAAGTGGTGGGATGCGCAGCCCATAAGGGGAAACCTGTATCAGGTTTTGTAGTTCTTTCAAGGGGAAAGGAAATTCCTATAAGGCTAACCTTATGGATTCAGAGGAACAGATACACAAAAGGCTGCTTCTTCACACATAAAGTGATTAGAAAGTAATATACATGACTTTAACATTTCCAACTCATATCCAACACAAGCCTTCAAAATTCCACAAAATGGGTTACAAATAAAGTTGGAATTGTGCCCATAATTGAGGTAGTAAGACCAATGTCAAATTTTTTTAAAATTAGAGGTAAAGAATTCTAAAATGCCTATGCTTTCAAGCTTTAAGTATGAATTAAAACACTTTAAAAACATAGTAGTATTTACTTTATGATATTTTTCAAAGAATCACATTTTATATTAATAGATTTGCTATTTCCCCTTCTTTCTCCCAAACAAAGGTACACAAATCATCTATATATTGAGACCAGTCAACTTACCAAAACAAACAAACAAAAACAAAAAACCCCAAACTTAAAAAAAAAAACCCAAACAAGAATGAAGTTAAATTTCAGATGGTTTTCGGGGGATAGTAGATTTATATAATTACATACCTCCAATTTATTTAATGTCTCAGACAGACATCTTTTCATAATGTCTTAAACATTTCTTTAAAAAAAAGAGTTAAACATACTTCAGACCCTTTCTGGGTAAGATTCAATTAGAAACAACCAGTGCTTTGCTGTGCTGTAATGGTTACTCTGTCAGATGTGTGAAATGTAAAAAACTATTGTTGGCTCTTTTACTAAACGGCCAGGGGCTATGCTTTTGGAGAGTGTGTTTCCATTTTTGAACTGTTTCTTTCCTTGCTACTATCAGGAAATCCACCTCTAGCAGCAACTCTCTCTCCAATTTTCTGCTTTCAATTTCTAATGGGGAGGTGAGTGGAACTGAGCTTATTTCAACAAGAGCAAGGTCCTAGGAATTCTCCTATGAATAAAGTCCATGATTTTGTGAAATTCATCTTGGCTACTCAGTTTTTTGTTGTTTCTTTTGCAATTCTCAACTGTTTCTCTAGTAGGGTCTTATTAAGGGGTTTCTTCTAGGATAGAATTTCTATTAATGTACACGAAATAAGCTGTTTTTAAAGACATTTTTGTCTCAATCTGTTTTCATACCTGTACTTAAGAAAATGCTAATCGTCATCTGAATGAAGAACTGACTAGGAGTCAATTCCAACTCGTAGCTATCATAAGCACTCCACAAGGTCTCAGCATGCTATATAGAGTATTTATTGTCTGAAAACGATGCAAGTATACTGGAGTCATCAGGGAAATCCAATGTTCTCTACAGCCTACCAGAAGCTACTAGACAGGGCTTCACAAACTCATTCCTTGAAAATCACTAACACAATCTGCAGACAACAATACCAAATAGGTACTTCTCCTCACCCCAAAAAGTAATACATAAATAGGGTCACAGTAAAACCAAAATGCTTTTATAATGGTCAAAATCAGAGCCATTGAGTCCTAACACAGCTTAAATTAGATGAAGAAAAAAACAGAGCAAGTAGTATAAAACCTCTACATTTTCTAGGTCCTTCATGTAGCAGTTCGATTATACTTCAATCTGGTATTAAGAAGTCAATAATACAAAGTAAATCTCCACAAAGGACCAAAACACCAAATTTTCCATGTCCAATAACTCTCTGTACTTAATCTACCATGAAGCTAGTGTCCACACCAAATGCTTCGTTCTCAACATTCGCCAAGAAGGAATGGGAAGAAATAGATGAGTGATTCAATAGGGAGTGCTCGTTCTCTTCCTAGTCTCCATCGAATAATCTCACTTTATCAACAAAGAATCCCCCACAGCTAAATCCAAGTTAAGAACAAATGCTCACACAAACCAAAAAACAAATTATTGTAATATTATAGTTACCATTTCTATTCCATTAACATAGATAATCAAGAGGTGACTGTATAGAGCTATTAAATGCAATCATTCTTGTTTATTGCCCATGAAAAAATTTCTGCATTAACATGAAGATCCACAATTGGTTCTGTTCATTGTTTAAATTAAAATGTTCTTTATCATTTGAAAATCTTGTCACCCTTTACACTTGTGAAACAACACATTTAGATCAGGGAAAAACATGTACTGATGCACATAAAAATTGTATGCATTGTGAAATGCATACATACACACACTTTGTCAGAATTCTTTTCAGATACCATGAAATATGCATGGCACATAAAAACTTGATATGCTTATGAAGTACAAATTATGCAGAAACAATGAAAAATTTTAGACAAACAAAACCTATCAAGCTAAGCAATATGCTTATCAAGATAGACATTCATTTGATAGCTACAAGCTTTCAGTTCTAGCTTGACTACAGGGTGAGAGGGCTTTTTGAAGTTACATTAATAGAAGGCACTTGTTATTTATGAACACAGCAAACAAAAACCAGGTATTAAAAACTTTACAGCCATTCTGGGTTGTATAAATTCTCACCAACACCAATGTATGTAAGTATTTGACTTTTGGATTTATTTTTAAAAAGTCATTTGTGTAATTATTGGCGTTTTTTGGTACCGAAACTTTTTTCAATGAAATTTAAGATGATTCTAAAATAAAAGCTTTGAAGTGTATCATCCAATTTTGATATCTTGGGCTGATCATTTAAATGAAACATCCTAAGTTTCAGAAATCATATCTCTTATACTAAGGATTAAAAATGCACTTCTTGTTGTGCATATCCAGTCTGATACTTCAAATTAATTTCATTCAGCCTTTATTCTGCATTTCTTTGAGGTGACATTAAAAAGTTTTTCTCTTTTTTACTAGAGAGAAATGAGTCTCAGTTAGAAGGTCAATTTTCAAATCCAAAAGACAAATAACTATGGGTAGTGATTCAAACTGGTATGCCAGCCAAAAACTTTCCAGACCTAAAAAGCCAGGTCAGAAAGCCCAGACTCTACTAGAAACTGAGTCCTTGAGACTAATGCCAATCACCTTAGAAAAATGAAAGATACTCTTTACGACAAAAAGGGTATTTTTACCATAAAAAATTCTGATTGTTTATATACAGTATAAGCATCAAGTGCTCAAGGCTTTATCCCTACCAACCACCAAACAGAATGGGTTTTCCTTTTGTTCCATATACATTCCAGATCTCACTATTTATTTTTTCAGTGTGAGATCCTACAACGAATGTTGAAAATAGTCAAAAAGCCAGGTTAAAAAAATTTTTTTAAATGGCTGTGCTTATGATTCAAAAGGACCTAATTCTGAAGGCATTTCTGGTCAATTCCAGTTGTTTGCCGGATGCTGTAATAGTTGATTCTCCTACCGTGACCCGGCTGTTGGTGCCCGGGTTCCCTCCCAGCCTGTAGTTGTTGTAGGCGAGATGACTGTATGGATTGTATCCCACAAACCCTGGTGTGCTGGGCATTTGCTGATGGAAACAAATGAGACAAAAACACGAATGAGAAATGAGCTCAAACGAGGAAAACACAGAAATGAAAAATGATCTGCCTATGGCATGCAAAAGCAACCTGAATTTAAACAAGCAATGATGTGTTGTAATTGTTCTTTTTTTCACTGAGGAAATTAAATATTTTTCTTTCATTGAGAAACCTGTTTGCAGTGTCTTTTGGTTGTTTTTCTCTTTCTTTTTTGTAGGGGCTGGGGGTGTTTGTGTGACTGAATGTGTGTGCTGCTTTTTGAGGTAAGCAATACACTGAAGTGTTTAAAACATTCAGGATTACTTTATGGTCAACGATAGGATATAACAACTTAGCAATATATGAAGACTGAGATAGGAAGGCTTGAAGTGTGATAAACTAAAACTCTGAAAACACTACATGCAAAACAAAACACAATTTATTTGACAGTTATGTGGATGCCACCAATGTATTCATCTACTAAAAACAAAAACAAGAAATGGATCTGATTTCAAAGACAGTTTTAAATAATTTTATATAATGTGAGAAATGAGAAGAGACTCAAATCAGGAAGCCAGGATTTGTCAATTGAAAAGAACATACGTTGGATTTGATGGATGTCACATACATGATTTAAAACAAAGACTTGTAAGAAATGCATGGATTCCATTCTAGGGTACTATCTGATCTTTTTAACCCAGTTATTCTTTTACAGGATTTCTCTTCCATCTCTTCTTTGATCCATCTTCCATAGGTCAATCATGAAAATATATCTGCATTTAGTCTCAATGTGAAGTACTTTTTTTCTTTTTTCATCTAGTTTCCTGATAGCTCTCACCCTTTGAAAACACAACTGCTCATTTCAGCAACAGAACTCTTGGTTTTTGTGAATTATGTGTTGATGTAATCACCAACGGGCTCTTAGATAGCAATGGCCTTGGGGCTAACACAATGACACTCAATGTTCATGAGAACCAAGGCATAATGCATAGAAAGAATGTAGTAGAGAGAGACCAAAATTAGGGTATTTTACCTTGTAAAACTCAGTCAAAATACTTGACAATTTCATTTTTACATGCAATTAACAATTATTGGTCCTTAATTGTATGATATAAAATACACTTAACACATTCCAACTAAGCTGTAGCTGTTACAAAATAAGCACAATTTCCTAAAACATGCCGCTGCACATATCCTTAGTACCCAAAAGAAAGACATTTAAGCAGATATTACATTTCATACTCTTTAGGAAAAAAGAGAACGGCTGATAAATTTCTACTCTATATAGTTAAAAAAGACGCAAATAAAGCATATATAAGTAGGCAAAACACAGATGAAGTATCAAAGGCACGAAAGAAGTGTATATTACTTGGAGTGGTACATTTGGGTGGTAGAGGTGAGAGTGGCGGTAGTGGAGGTGATAGTGGCGGTGATAGTGGTGGTAGTGGTGGTAATGGTGGTGGTGGTGGTAGAAGTAATAGAAAGAAAAAAGAAAGGAGAATAATTCATTTAGTATCCATTCTGTTGGATGTTCTAATCCCTAGTCTTCTATATTTTGTGTGTTAATGTGAAATTATAATGGCACAAAAATATAACTAAAGAAAGGCAAAAAAGTCCCTTTTTACGCATAAGAAATTATAAGGGGACACTTGGTTTTTGAAATATTTTAATCTCAAAAAATCAAGTTTGTCCTCAGATATTATACATTGTCAGAGGCGGTATTTATGTCAAAATGACACCTTCAAAGGTTGCATAAATAATAAGAATCACTGTTCAACATTATGAGGCAATAATGTTAGAAAAATAAGGGAACTAAAAAAAAATGGAAAGCAAAACATTATGATTATACCATTTCCAAAGCTGAAGTACATGGTTAGCTTTTTGAGGTCAGAATCTCAATTCTTCAGCTCCACCTGTATAGCCACTAGCGGAATGCCATGGAGATGGTCATAACAAATGTTCTTTGATTTAAGAAAGAAAACAAACCAAGCACAGGACTTTACGGTCTACTGGAATTAACTTTACAGCCTGTATATAATATAAATTGAAATAAAAACATAAGGTACAATATCTTTTTAAAAGCATCTCACTAAGGAAAAACAAACTGTTGATAAATGTTAACTAAAATATACATCTGAGGGTTAGTAAATGAGTAGTTTTCTAGTGGAGAAAACAAAATTACACAAGGACCTAATTAGCAGTGAAAAGTAGACTAGCCTGAAATTTAGATGGTAGGGGCTATGGAAGGAAGGATTAATATTAAAGAACTAATTTTGTAGAATCTGGTTATGTTAACAGTGTTTTTTAAAAAACAAACAAAACCCCCCACCCAAAAAACCAACAAGGAAGCCATTTCATCAAGACCTGAACAGTTACTGTTAAATCTATTTTGTGGGTTGGAAAATTATTTTACATGCTGACCAAGCTGGGCCAGAGCTTGCTGAGTGAAAAACCATGTTCACAACTACTTTTTAGATACCTTAAAAACATATATACTTCCAAACCAATAAAATATAATTTGTGGAATGGAATAAGATTCAATAACAAGATCTGACCCATAGATAATTAAATCTTTACTTGAACAGCTTGAAAATACTTACAATGAGTGTAGTTTCAGAAGCTTTGTTGTTTAATTTAATATGAAAATTTTATAGAGACAAAAAAGGAGAAAAAAACATAACCAGTTGAAGGTTAGGTTTAACAAAAAAGCCAGAATGAGCATTCACTCAGTATCAACTTAGAGACTCTTAATAGTGAAGATCAATAAGAAGTGTTAAAATGTTCACTTTCCATTTACAAAGAAAAAACAAACTGAGCATAGGAGGTTGGAATTTTACAGTATTGTTTCTTTAAATATTGGGGTTGGTTCAAGGAAAGATGCAGATAATTATTTTATTTAGTAGGAAGTGCTGTTTTTCTTTTTTTTTTTTTAAGCTGAATTTCATCCTGTTGCTGTGATGATTGAGTGACTGTCACTGGAAGACATCTGGGTTTTTGTATCAAGGCCAGACTTGGCTATTACATTAACAAGAAAATTAAAACTTACTGTTGCAGGAGCTGGGGTGGGAGGTGGGGCATAAGATGGTCTTTCTGTTTGAAAGAAAATAAATAACTTCTTGTAAACAACTGAGATATAATACTATGCAACAAAACTACCAATGGTCCTGTTTTGAAGAAAAAAAAATGAGAGTCTTTTGGAATTCCCACTTGCTAGGGCATTAGTCTCTTATTAACATAGATTGATAAATATAAAAATTGAAACTTACTTGACATTTTGGAAGATTAAGTTCTCAGTTCCTTAAGAATGAATCTGAGACACTAAAATAAAAAAAAAAGGAAAAAAAAAAAAGAGAATCAAAACTCAGCAAGCATACGAGAATGTTTTCCTAATGAATTGGGTAATTTAATTGGGATTTCCGAGTAAAATTACTTCACCTTAATTCCTAATAATTAAGCCTCCTGCATATTTTAACTGATTCTTAAAGGTCATTTGGTTGACTAGAACTAAATGACTAAAATAAAGTACTGGGGATATTTAGAAATGTACTTTCAGGTTTTTTTTCTTGTGATACTAAGCCACCTCTAGTATGAAAAACATTTTGCTGACACCATGTAAACATTTCCTCAGACTGATGAGAATAGAATGTGATGTATAATCAGGGTCCAACCTGACGAGGCCTACCAGATACTGACAGCTCCCTGATCAGCAACTGTACCATGCTTTTGGGATAACAATTTTTATTAAAATAGGGCAGCATTTTATTCTTGGAAGCAGTGCAAAAGGTAGTTGGTATGACAATGAACTTCATATTCTCTTATGGTGGTAAATAGCTTCATAAATGCTGGGAATAAATCTTGAGAGTCTACCTGAAAAGCTTTTATTCATCCTTCACAGCCCATTTCAAAATGTATCTCCTTAATGGAACTTTCTTGATACATTACCTGGGGAGAATTGCTCTGCCATCTGTGTTCCTATACAGTTTACACAGATCTATGATATTATTTATTATAACTTTTTAAAAACTTGTCAATATGGCTAGATTGTATGCTACTTGGAAACAGGGACCATGTCAGAACCTAGCTGTATTCTTAGGAAATTTTGTCCTTGTATGTACATGACCAGACTCATGTGAGCTTGTTCTTTACATCAACATACATCACAAATAGTGAGGTACAAAAAGACAAAAATTCATCTTTAAAAGAAGGCAGACAAACTTCGATGACTATTGGAGGTATTTGTATCCAAAGTTATGTAAAATGGACCAGATTTTTTGCTTCTAGTATTCATTTTAAGGAAATCCCCAGGATCATAAGGAATGAGTCCTGGTGGGGAAAGAAACAGTTTATTTTCCCAATGGTCCAACCCGAGTCATTCCCTCTTAAAGAACAGTCAGAAACCTTTTGTCTCGTGTAGATTTCCTTTCTGTTCACATTAAGGGAGCTGTCAACATCCAGTAGGCCTCGCTGCAGGGGACCCTGACAACTGCCATAAGCTCATTGTTAATACTTTAAAATTATTGCTCTCCTTTGCTAGAATATAAAATTTAAGAGTGGGCTTGTACATTTGTCCACCGCTGGATCCAACCTTGGTGCCTGGCATAAAAATAAATAACCGATAAATATTTGTTCAAGGAATATTTTATACGGGGTAGGCTTATGAACTATTTCGCTTAACAGTCACAAGTACTTTATGAGATATGTACAGCTATCCCCATTTTACAGATGAAGCAAGGGAGTCTCGGAGAGTGCAAATAACTTGTCTGAAGCCACACGCAGCCAGCAAGTGCCAGAGCTGGGTTTCAAACCCAGGCCAAACTATTTCAGAGCTCCGTTCATCACTCTAAGCCACACCGTGAGTCCTCAGGTCGCTGCCTGAACCAATGGGGGAACCTTCTTCCTGGGGGTGAGAACCACGGATTTGTCTTGACCGCGGGCTTCCTGAGGTCGCTCTCTTTAAGTTTGTCTTGGTGAACGTACTTGACTAGCAACTCCCCTAAAACGCGGTATGCACAGGTGCTTTGACCAATTTCAGGGGACTGGCCTTGCCTCCAAGGAGGGGGCCCCAGATGGGACTCCCTCCCAACCTTCTCTCTGCTAGGCCTCAAGGAGGCCGCAACCGGCTCCCAGCTCTGGCCCCACAGCCAAGCCTGAACCCCAGCAACCCCAGAGAACTCGGGGTCCAGCCAAGCGGTGACACCACGACTTGCCCCCACCGACCCGGTCCGGCCCACTTGGAAACACTCACCCGCGGGCAGAAAAAGCGCCCGCAGCTCCGGCTTCGCTTCCCTTTGTCCCGCGCACGCCCCGCCCCTCGCGTCCGGAGCTTCCGCACTCGCACTTTCCACACTCTTCTTAATTTTTTTCCAGGCCCCACCAGACCCTCTTTAGAAAAAATAAACCTCTAATGAGGACGCGGTGATGCTTAGCACACTCAGGGATTTTTTTTCAGGCCCCATTGGCTCTCAAAACTCCCCGAATTTGGATACTTTCCCAACCGGGCGCCGATTCGTCACGGCGAAGAGGGCCGTGGAGGCCCGACCGCGGGATAGGCCCGGGCTTCGCGGCTGTGAGAAGCGGGAGCTGCCGCGACAACTGAGGAGGTGTCGGGAAGTGCCGAGCCTTTCAGAGGGGATGTGGGGACTGCGGTGGGAGACGGCGGGAAGCGCTCAGCCCGAGGCCGCGCAACCAATGTGGCGGTGCGCAGCTCAGCCAGGCTCCGGCGGAGCCCGCCCCCGGAGGGGCCCTCCCCGACCCCCGGTCTTTCTTTCCTCTCGGCTGTGGGCCGGAGTCTAGACTTCGCTAAGTCGGGAATGGAGGCGTGGAGGACTCGCTTGGCGGTGTTTGCGTCCTCACAGGCGCCTCGCAGTTCTGTAGTTTTTCCTAGCGCTTTTAGGGTATAATCATAACAGGTTTCTGAGCCAAGGCGTGGAGAAGTTGACCCCACTTGCCACAGCTTGTGTGTCCTTGTAGCGCCGCGGGTGCCACCTGGGCTCCGTCCCAACGCTGCCTCGGCTTCTTCGGTTCCCGCCACCGGGAATTATCGTCCCCACTTACAGCTTAAACTTATCTGTCTTTCCGAATCCAGCTCAAAGGTCTCTCTGTGATGCCCTCCTGGAACTTACCCCTAGTAATCCTTCCTTTGTGTTCCGCGGCTTTTTGATTATGATTGGCGTCCTGAACCTGACCCTTTGTATCTGACGGTGTTTGTTTGTCATCTCCAGCGCTTTATGAAGGCCTTGAAAGCAAGCTTCCGCTGTCTGTACTGGTCATCTTCCCATTGCCAATGCCTACGAAGGGCTTGACCCATTCATTGTTAGATGCTCAGTTAAGTGTGTACTGAGGCAGCCCTCTGTGCTACTCCAGGGCTCTTTCCACTAAATCATGAGTATGTTGGTTTACCAGATGGAGTGAGTAGCCTCTTCTTTGAATATGTGAACACCTGACGGATTTTTATATGGAGGGAGAATGAACAGATGGGATCCCTGACCTGTGATTTCTTGAAAACAGTTGACATTTAGAGAGGCTGAATCCTTGGAATGCCCTTAGCCCCCACCCTGAGTGTGCCGACAGGGACTAGATGCATCTCTAGAAGTCTGCAAAGCCAGGAACAAGTGATACTCTGTCCAATTCTTCCGATATTGTTATACCCATGAATAGAGATTAATGAAATTGAAGAGCACATTCAAGAGAAAGACTAAAGGAGATTCGTCTGCCCTATGGACAGGCAGCCCGAGTGGTGTTTGAGAAAATGTACATGAAATTGCTTTGTTAAAAATACAGAAGCATCAGAGACATGTAAAGAATTAATGTACGATACACAAAGGCCTCAGAAGGGATTCCAGTACCTTTTTCTGGCGTTGTCCAGCAACTCTAGCCTGGTTTCTTCCCTGCCTTTGGGGTTCCAGTGGGGAGATTAGGCAACTGCAGTGCTGGGGAGGCGCTGTGTGGTGTTGTCTTTAGGGAATCCTCTGAAGAAACACTGCAGGTTTTGGATGTTAAGAATAAAGCACACTATAGTAAGAAAGGGGTGGCCCAAAAACGGTGAAAAAAGAAAGGAGGGGACCTAAGTGGAGCAGTGACATTGTCTGATAATCTTTCTCACTGGTGTTTCATGACCTACTTAAAATTGCAGCCCATTTCCCAACCTGCAGTGTCTGTTCATGGTCTGTACTTGACTTTTTCTGTAGCACTTAATTGCTTCCTAACATACCATACTTTTTATGCATTTGTTTTGTCTTTTTCTTTTCTGAAATGGAGTTTTGCTCTTGTTGCCCAGGCTAGAGTGCAATGGTGTGATCTCGGCTCACCAGAACCTCCATCTCCCGGGTTCAAGTGATTCTCCTGCCTCAGCTTCCCAAGTGGTTGGGATTACAGGCGTGTGCCACTACGCCGGCTAATTTTGTGTTTTTAGTAGAGACAAGGTTTCATCATGTTGACCAGGCTGGTCTTGAACTCCTGCTCTCAAGTGATCCACCCTCCTTGGGCTCCCAAAGTGCTGGGATTATTGGAGTGAGCCACCACTCCCAGCTGTCTTTCTCTTCCCATCAGAATGAAAGCTCCTTCGGGTGGAGACTTTTGACATCTGTAACAGTACATGACACATTTAGGTGCTCAATACTTGTGGACTAAATAAATGAATGAGTCTCTCACTTTCTTCCCTTGGTTCTTTCTCTGCCAAAGATTTGAAAAATTAAGAAACTCCAGCCTGGCAACATAGGGAGACTCCATCTCTTAAAAAGAAAAAAATTATTCAGGTGTGGTGGTACACACTTATGGTCTCAGTTACTTGGGAGGCTGAGGTGGGAGGATCACTTGAGCCTGGGAGATCAAGGCTGCCGTGAGCTGTGATCACGCCACTGCACTCCACCCTGGGTGACAGAGCAAGGCCCTTTCAAAAAAAAAAAAAAAGAAAAGAAGGAAGGATATAGGCAAGAGATAATGGAAAAGTAATTTGTTTCCTAGTCCTGAAGAAATTAAAGCTGAAGAGTGAAATATCTAGCAAGATGGCCTTTACTTATAATGATTTTTTCCCCCTGAAGCAAACATCAGAACATATGATCTTGCCTTTATAAGGATACTGATGGAAACTACAGATGTTTGGAATTGTGGTTATTCTCAGAAAATGTGGGATACAGCATCATTGTGACTATTTAAACTAAATGAAACTCTAAGGGTAGTTGGGAGCTCTCAGATGGGCCCAGTGGTTAACCCCAGAGATAATCTTAGGCCCAATTAAGGCATAACTCAGGCCTTAGTTTTCATTCTGGCAGCAAGATCCAGAAACTTGGTCGGCTTTCTCCTCTGACACTACTCATATTTTTGAGTAAAAAGTATGAACTTGGGGTTCTTCTTTCCCCAAGACAGGGAAGCCAAAACTAAGTGAGCAAGCTAAGGTTCAAGCCCAGGTCTCCGAGTTCTTCCCATTGTGTCGTGGGAAGAAACTGATGATGGAGACAGAATTAGGGGTAGGACTGGGAAGAAAGAAGAAAAAAGGAGAAAATGGGAGAGAATAAGGAAAAACCTGAAGTCCTTGGACATCCAGTTGTCCATGAATAGGCACCAAGTGGTCTGTGAACCCATTAAAATTATGCTCAATTCTTACAGGCTTTTTTTTCCTAATCGAAGGTTAATTTTTTTCTTTGAGACAGAGTCTCACTCTGTTACCAGGTGGGAGTGCAGTGGCGCAATCTCAGCTCACTGCAACCTTTGCCTACTGGGTTCAAGCGATTCTGCTGCCTCAGCGTCCCGAGTAGCTGGGACTGCAGGTGCACCCCACCACACCCAGCTAATTTTTGTATTTTTATTAGAGATGGAGATTCACCCTGTTGGCCAAAATGGTCTTGATCTCTTGACCTCATGATCCGCCTGCCTCACCCTCCCAAAGTGCTGGGATTACAGGTGTGAGCCACCACGCCTGGCCAGAAAATTAATTATTTCATGAGATTTTCAAAGAGGTGTATAACTCAAGAAAGATTATCAACCAACCGCTGAGCCATAGAGTTTGTAGTATGTTCTGTTTAAGCTTTTTTAGTGGATTTTTTTTTTTTTCTTAAACAAGGGAAAGCAAGAACAAAGCTTTACCTGACCCAAATAGCCTATGGAAGTCTGGTTATAGACAAAATGATGAAACAAGCTAATTTTCTCAGCTGTTTCTGTGAAAGCAGAAGGAGCTATGGGTATTCAGTTTCTTTAGCTAGAAATAGTTGTGAAATAATGAAGCTTAGCAGCTTTCCAGGACAGAGTGATTCACACTGTTTTACAGAATTTAAAAAGCATGGTTTGCTTTTACAACCCTCTGTGTTGCCCTCAAAATAACCTCGAGGATTGGGGACATGAATTTTGCCACATGGTGTGGAAAAGGATAGACATTGAACAGGATAGAGCTGGAGAATCTGGGGTGTGGGATCTATTAGCCACTGATAATATTGGGAGTCTAGGGCAGAGTTGCCAAATGAGATTGTTGCAGGCTGTATCTGGGCTGCCTCCTGTTTTTGTAATAAACGCTTATTTGGACCCAACCACCTTCATTTATATACATATTGTCTATGGCTGCTTGTGATTACAGGGGAAGAGTTACATAGTTGTTACAGGGATCCTATTGCTGAAAAGCCTAAAATATTTGCTATCTGGGCTATTATGGAAAGGCTGCCAACCCTGGTCTAGAGTCTAAGCATATGAGGGAAACTTGGAAAGGCTTGTACTGATTTTCACATATACCTTATTTTAGAACCTTTATTTGTTATATGCCCACAAATATTGGCAATCTGTGTGTACATGCTGGCCATAACTGTAAACATAGAATCAAATTCTGCCTTGTGGACTTTTTTTTATTTCATGTGTTGATAGTTTGAGTAAATGTGTATGCATATTATTTAACTAAAATTTAAATTCAGTTCATGTATCATAATAAGTTTCCAAAGGGAACTTTCAAATGAATGTAAGCATTTTTTGACTTCAGAGATTTTTATTTTTATTTTTGAGACAGGGTCCCACTCTATTGCCTAGGCTGGAGTGCAGTGGTGGGATCTAGGCTCATTGCAGTCTTGACCTCCTGGGTTCAAGCAATCCTCCCACCTCAACTTCCTAAGTGGCTTAGACTACAGGTGCACACTACCACACCAGGTTAATTTTTTTATTTTTATTTATTTATTTATTTTTTTTAGTAGAGATGAGAGCTCTCTGTGTTGCCCAGGCTGGTCTCAAACTCCTGGTCTCAAGCAATTCTCCTGCCTTGGCCTCCCAAAATGTTGGGATTATAGGTGTGAACCACCATGCTCAGCCAAGAGATTTTTTAAAAAATTCTAAAAAGAAAACAATCGAAGGGCAAACTGAACTTTGACAATACAAAGATCTCTAACAAATCAATAAGAAATGTGCTTATGTGCAGTGTTAGTTGTATATTTCTGCATAACACATTATCCCAAAATTTAGTGGTTTAAAATAATAATCACTTATTATCTTTAGATAACTGTTTTTTATGTTTTTTGTTTTTTTCAGACACAGGGTTTGACTCTGTCACCCAGGCTGGAGTTCAGTGGTGTGATCTTGGCTCACTGCACCTTCCACCTGGGCTCAAGTGATTCTTCTACTTCAGCCTCCTGAGTAGCTGGGACTACTGGCATGTTACCGTGCTCAGTTAATTTAAATTTTGTTAATAGATATGAGGTCTCACTATATTGTCCAGGCTGGTCTTGTACTCCTGAGCTCTAGCAATCCTTCTGCCTAGGCCTCCCAAAATGCTGGGATTATAGGCATCAGCCGCTGTGCCTGGCATACAGAATATTTTAGTACTTTAAAAGCTATCATGACAGAACAGTTCAAACTGGGTGAGACTTATTGGGAAAGAATTGCTTTTCTGGCAGTAATTGAAAAATTAAAAATAGTATCTTGTCCGGGCACAGTGGCTCATGCCTGTAACCCTAGCACCTTGGGAGGCTGAGGTGGGCAGATCACCTGAGGTCAGGAGTTGGAGATGAGCCAGGCCAACATGGTGAAACTCCATTTCTACCAAAAATACAAAAATAAGCTGGGCATGGTGGCATATGCCTATAATCCCAGCTACTGTGGAGACTGAGGCAGGAGAATCGCTTGAACCTACAATGGGCCGAGATCATGCCACTGCACTCCAGCCTGGGTGACAGAGTGAGACTCAGTCTCAAAACAAGCAAACAAACAACCCCAAAAACCAAAATAGTATCTTTACCCGTTGTGTTTTGAATTATTACTTAATCATTGTCAGCTATAATTTTCCCCACAAATTCTCTGAAGACAGTTTTCTTCCAAATAGTACTGTGTATCTGAGCAGTGCTTTACCAAATATTTTTGCTTGTATATTATTTCAAAGAATTGTAAAATAGGCAGAGTAGGAATTATTACCCAGCATTACCTTTTCCTTTGTTTTCAAATGTAAAACTTGAGACGTAGGAACTTAAAGTAGTCCCTCCTGGTTACAGGGTTAATTAGTGACAGAGCCAGGGCTAGGATCCTACAGTTGTTAGTAATTGGAATAACTCTTCAGTTTTGTATTTTGTTATGCAAGCATGCATTTGTAACATTTCCAAGCGATTCAAGAATATTAATTTCTACTCTTGTATAAACCAAGGATAATATTATTCATGTTGTAGGATTGTTGTAAGGAAGGATTAGGGATTCAACACAGTGACTGCAGCCGAGTAAGTGCTTTGCAAATGGTGCTGCCATTATTATACTTTTCCCAGAATTATAGGATTATGTGATTATTTTGATTAAAA